TTTTCAAAAGTCATGTCAAATGGACCGGAAATAACATTTCCCTTATTTCGTGTTTAGATCTCATAAATAAATGCGTGTACACTAACAATTATGATTCAAATTATCTATAAGGTTTCTGCGACCAAACATTGACTTTATTTATGTTCCAAAAGTTTTTATTATTCTTTTGTATTGTCAAAACTAAACCAACAATTTGCTATCACAATTCACACGCATTGGTTGTTCTTGTAATGAACTCCACTAGGCAGATTCTTTAATGTAAAGTGAAACAAAACAAAGACTTGGTTCCTAGCCATTAACGTTACATCCTTCCAAACATTAAAAACCAGCATCTCACTCTCAGCACATGATCTCATTCATCGCCATCAGCTAACGGACGGTATTGTATTCACACGGGCTTCACCGTCTCATTTTACTTTGTCCACTCTTTCTCTGTTTCGTGGAGAAGACGATGAGGTGAAGATATTTGGGTAAAAGAGACGATTTTTTCAGTTTCTTTCCAAGCAGCAGATTATATACCATCGAATATGATTAAGAAAGAGGAAAAAATTGATAATGCAAATTGGACACGGGTTCGTGACGACTAGTATCAGTATAAATACAAATTGGAAACGGGCTTGTGACGACTAGTACTAGTACAAATGCATGTGCGTGCCAACTAGTCTACTCTTTGTATTTATATGAATTATGCTATTTGTATATTGAAAATATACAACTTTGTTGACATTTAAAGAGGTGTAAAAATCATCGTCTTTGATTAAATATTGTTAAAAGGATAAATATATATGTACCGAATTTGGATTATCGAATTGGTTACCTACTCTCATATGCATGCGGGCACGCATGCATTCATTTAAAAATTCCGGCATATGGGACCCGCCCTCCTATTGTGTGTGTAGGTAAAAGATTCGGTAAAAAAGTAAATGTACATCTAGCATTGTCCTTGTTAAAATCAATAGCAAAAATATTGACCACTTCACACACTGTTAACCAAACTGTACCTATAGCAAAACTGTATTCATATTAGGTAAATTTGCAGCAAGATTTGGATTTTAATTTTGATTTGGTTCGATTTGGATTTTGATTTTGTTTTTGGAATGGGTGAGGTATGGGCAAGGAAGATGAAGAATATTTTATTTTTTTTTCTCTTGTTTTTGTTACTTTTTATTTAATTATTTTGAGTTAGAAATTGTAAACTTGCCCTTTTGCGATTTTAAAGATAGTCAATTATGGTCAAACGTTTGACTTTTAATTAGCCAACCCATTTTTGGACGAAAATCATTGAAGTCGTCGTTCTATTGTTCACTTTTAAAGGTGTAGGACGTATTTGTTATAATTTAAAGGTTTGAGATTGTATTGCACTTTTTTAAAATGTTCGAAACATTCATCGAAAATCATCCTTTATGTTATGTGGAAAAAATTGATAAGAAGGGAATGAGGAGTTGCGCGGTGTATGTTGGTGTCAATGTCAATAAATTTGAAGCTTATCGCCATAGCTATCGCTATCAATGGTTATTTACTTACGAGATACAGATGAATCTGCCGGCATCGTGGGGATGAGCACTTGGAAGTCATGGTTTTGTGTCGGTGGCTATATATATTTCATTTGGTCCACACTAAATGAAATAAATCACCTTGTATTATGTTAATTTTAGTCTATTGTAGACTCTTTTAATTTGTTATATACTTTAATTGCTATTGGCTAGTGAGAGTTGTCCAAAAGAAATTTAGAAAAGAATTTAGGTAAGGGTAAATATATTTACACAACAATTTTTTTGTTAACTACACTACATTTTGATTATAAGAACTTTGTTATTTGTACATTGATTTTTAACACGTTGGTTGACACTTGCATTATTGTCAAGTGTCAATTTGATGAAAACCTGTTTAAAATTTAACCTAGCCAATAGGGTAATGC